CTATCAAATAGTAAAGCTACTAAAAATGTAGCATCTAAAAGTAATTTAAGGAAAACCTCTGTGTTCCTCATCACGCAGGAGATACTCCACTTTATGAAAAGATGCAGCATTAAAAAAACCAAGGAAATAATGCTGCCTCTTTCTGCCAATTACATCAAACAAAACTGACACATTTGGAACAAGCAAATGTAAAACTTGCTTCCCATTGTAGTACACTGGGTTTTTGACACGGTGCACCCCTTAAATCTTAGTTCCTAATATTAATATACGAGCTTTTCCATATTTATATTTTGCATGTTTTGAGTCACAACAAAAATATTTTGTCTTTCTATCTTAGCTTGTATTAACAAAATGGCCCTCAAATCTATCAGATGGAATTAGATGCAGTGTTTTCAGTAATGGGCACAACAATTTCTCTTGTTGCATGCCATTAGATCCGAGAACCAATCCTAATAAAGCAGATGGTTGGAAATGCTGCGCTAGCAGGTGCCACTGGCCAGAGCAATAGCTTATGCCAACACTTATCAAGAAGACAATGGAGCCCCCTAGTGGATTCATTAAAGTAAAGCCTAGCTGATAGATGGGGAAGCCAATTTAAGAGGCTATCTAAGCCTATTTTTTTTTCTTTACAAAAAAAGCAAATATGTAATCCATAGGTTGTACTTATACCAAATTGCAAATTTCAGTGCAATTCGTGCTTAGCAGTTACAGAGATTATCAGAAGCACCAACAGAGCAAGCTAACACCTATCATCAGAAAGAGGAAATCTGTTTACAGAATGAAGGTTCGCAGGGCGCAGGAACGTGGTCACAAGATGGATTGGCTGCATGGGGCCAGACAAAGGAATCAGGTTTGGGAGGTGAGTGAGGAGACTGAGGAGACATAAACAGGTGGAGGAGAGATTCTGTCCTTGGGAGAGATGAAGATGTAGAGGAATCAGAAGCTAAAAAGTGAAAGAGAAAAATTATAAAGAAAATGCCAGGAATAAAATATGAATGGATAAATTAATGGAGGCCAGGAAAGAAAGAAATGTATAGCCTACTTAGCTATTATTAAATGGAGATGGAAACATTTCCGCACAGAAAAAACACCGTTATTACAGAAGTCAGAGATAAAATTAAAATTATGTATTGATAGGAGCAAGCAAGGAAAAAAATAAATTTACTTTATCAAGACAAATGCTAATGAAAATATTTCTTAGCTATGCTATTCAATGTGAGATAGAAGTACACATTAATTCCTGAAGTTAATACATCTCTTTCTCACCGGGTAACTGGAAGGTTTTTAAAATTACTATTATATTTTACTGACAGCAGATATAATAAGACTATTTCATAAATATCCTAAAGAACAAGATAATAATATATCAGCCAAAAAGTGTTTTTGTTGATATACTTCAATTTGTCACCTACTTTTTTCTCAAAAATCTGTCTGCAATTCTGCACATCAACTTAAAACTAGCTTTTCTGTTTTAATCCTATTTCTGCCCAGCAACTTTAAAAAAAAGCAATCAAGCAATTGCCTCATTTTATCTCAGTAAACCAGACAATACTATTGCCTTTAAGCCATCTTAACATTCACTTATAATTCAGATGTTACGGTTGAACATGTTTTCCCCTAATTTATTTGTGACATTATTTATTTATTACAGAGGCTTATATGCCAGTCAATTCATTCAGGCCTCTTAGCATTTTGTATTTCCTTCTTCTTTTAAGAGTTAAAATAAAGAAGTGGTATACACATGCCAGGCTACAGGACAAAATAATAATAACATACCACCAATACCGGCCCTGTGCAATGGTAATTTGCAGATGCTATAGACTAACATCACCATTATTTGCAGCCACCATTTATTTTTTTAATGCAACAACTGTCTGTAAAATAGTACCATTCACATAATTTGACTATATGTAATAAAATATAAATTTTAATCAGTTTAATTATATAGATAAACTGAACCAAAACTGTGTCCTTCTATAATCTATAGGGTTTATAGATATTCCAATTGGTGCTAACCTGGCTCCTTACCTCACATGGGATTTTACTTTTAAAAAAATAACAGATTTGCAGCAGACATGCTGTAAAACAAAATAAGAGGGCCTTTATACTCCCAATGTGTTTAAAAATCTATATTCAAAAATAAACAAAAGAGATTAAAAACCAATAGGCAGTTTGGAAGTATTCCCATCTTTTAGGAAAAAATCCCCAATAAACAAATATAGTAAGAAGTAGCCTGAAGAAATGGTGGCTAGAAATAATTAGAAACATCAATTATTTTACAAGAGTATCCATGGTGTATTCCCAAAATTTGAAAATTTGTACCATTCTACAATGGATTAAAGATCCTTGTACTAATAAAATGAATGCTATTATTAGATGAAATCTGGCTCCTTTTAGATCTGTAGGAGATTAAGAATTCTCTGGAACATTTTTGAAGAAGTAAATGCACACAGGGACACACACACACACACACACACACACACACACAATTAAATAGAGAATAGAACACATAGCTATCGCATAAAGAGCATTAGTAGTTATTTTATCAGTCTGTCTATCTGTCTTTCAAATTTGAATAGTTTCCCAACTCTAAAAAGTAATTATGGGTGGCATACAACAATGAACTAAAAACAATAAATATATAAAAACCAGTCGTTGTTAAAATACAAAACAAATATTAAGTATAACATTAAAAAACAAACTGCACAGCCCCAATGAAGAAGCCATTGTAAGTTTTAATCAATCCCTTGGGACTCCAGATCTGGTGACAAAACCAGATCTTGAGGGACCCCTCCTGAACATCAACAGGGATGAAGCCAGCCCCACTTCAGGGACGGCGGCAGAATGATCCATTAGGCAGGCACCATGACAGAGAAGGTCTGACACCAGGGACCCACCAAGCAAAAATCCCTGGCAGATAAAGCCTGCAGTGTATCTACTTTATGAAATCTGATAGTATGGGCAGATGTAATTGGGAAGAGGCCGTCCAAGGATACATATCAAGAAGGTGAGAATCAGCACTTTGAATTAGACCGAAGTAAACTGGCAACTAATGCAGCTTTGGAGCAAAGGTATACTATATGTGCTTTTTTTTGGAAAGACACATAACTACCTGGGCTGTTGCATTCTGCAATAGCTGAAGCATCTGGATACTCTTCAAGGACAGCCCTACTTGGACAGCATTACATAGTCCAATCAGGACATGACTAAGGCATGAGTGACTCTGAGCAGAGCTTCCTGTTCTGGGAATGAGTACAAGTGAAGCACAATACAAAGCTACACAAAGGCCCTCATAGCCATGACTGTCACCTGATCTTCAAGGAGTCCCAGATTATGCAGTGGGTCTACATGGGGCAATACAATTCCATCCAGCCTACTTCTCAAACTGACACGGTCCAAACCCACAATTATTCAGTCTTGCCAAGGTTCAGCTGAAGCCTGTTTTTCTTCATCCAAACCTTTATGATTTCCAGGCATCGGGAAAAGATGTTCACAATTAATTTAGCACGGACAGAGATATAAAATTGCATACTGATGGTACCTCACCCCATGGCAGTGGATAAGAATACCCATATAGATTTTAAATAATCCACCATATCCTGCAGAACCTCACATAGTAGGGGGCTGAGTGTTACTACTATCTGGAATCGATCATGGAGAAAGGAGGTGAATCAGCATAAAAATGCCATCTACCTCCAATCTTTTGCGCTCTGCATTTCGGATGCTTAGTGTCTTCCTTTTACAAACAATTGCAGTCGAGTGATTGTAATTTGTGATTTTTTTGTCAGCTTCTCTAAGGAAATATGGGTGGCCAATAAATGTGATAGACGATAAAGTGGGGAAGGAGGGGAAGAGGGAGAAAGAGAAAGAGAGAGGGGGAGGGAGGGAGGGAGGGAGAGGGAGAGGGAGAGGGAGAGGGAGAGAGGGAGGGAGAGAGAGAGAGAGAGAGAGAGAGCAGGGGTAGGATTCAACCGGTGTTACAACCGGTTCGGTGAGAGTGCGTTTTGCACGCGGGCTGTGTGTGTGTGTGGAGCATTTGTGAAAAATCATTAGCTGTGCTGCCCGGACAGCTGACAAGTTTGAAAAGCCTCTTCTTTCCTGCTTTTTCAACTTCAGCAAAGCAGCTGAGGTTGAAAAAGCAGGAAATAAAGGACAGCCAAAAGCCAGGGCAGGTAGGTGGGCCAAACAGATGACCAGAAGGTCATCGCAGCGAACTGGTTCGGTGTCAGTTGCTCGACGGAGCTACTGGCTCTATAGAACCAGGCTGAACCAGTAACATCCCAACCATATATGTATGTATGTATGTATGTGAATATGAATATGTATTCAAAGAAATACAGAAAGTAATTTTATTTTTGAAATCTAAGGATTCATCTTCCATTCCATATAATATTACTATTTCAGTCATTTATATTTATGTGAGTAGAAAGATTACTTCCTAAATGTATGGCAAATAAATTATTACATTATTACATTGGAAGAACAAATTTTAGGAGTATTTTGTTAGCCAAACACAAACAGTATGAAAACATAAAATCTTCAAAGAATGGGAGAGTTGCTAGAACAAATAATATAGGATACATAGGGTTAGGTTTATAAAAAGAATGGAACTTGGAAGTGTGGTCCTGCCAAAATCCCTAACTGGAAAGCAGAAACAGTTACATTGGATTTGGCCAAGAGGCATTTAATGACAGCAGTATTTCAGTTTTGCATCATGCCAAGCCTTTGCTCGGTAAATTCTGAAATTAAATGAGTTTATAGCAGCAACAATTTTGCTTCAAAATGAAATTTAACATCCAGATTACCTAGAGATTTAAGTGGGACTTTAAAAGTGAAGAACAAGTAAACTGATACACTCAAATGGATTGTTTCTTCTAGGAATATATATAGAAAAAAACTGCATTTACAATGTAATTATTTACACCCTACCTTGCAAAGGTATATAATAGAAAACACATAATTGTGTCTGACACTTTGATGACAACAGAATTAATATTCACCTGTTTCAGGATCACTGAAATCTGGGAGAGTGATTGTATTGAGCTGTCGCCTGTCTGCAATGGCTCTGTCCAATAAACTGCTGCCACGCCCAGAATCACTGGAAGAAATAACACAATATATTAATACTTTAAATCACTGTAAGGGAACAGTGAGGCCTGTACATCATGCCTTTGTGTATGTGTATTATATACAGTATGTGTATGTGTGGGTATGCGGATGTGGGGTGGGGGGGTGTTGCTATGCTCTATGAAAGGATTTGAAACCAACATTGTCTTTTACATATTCATCTTTCCATTTCGGAGTCTTCTGAAGTAGCTGAAATTCAGCTGTTATAAAATGTTTTGTTTTTGACTGTCAATACACTCTGTCTTTCTAATACATATTTTTCTATACGAAAGCAAGGCTATTTATCTATTGACAAATGATAAACTCTAAAAAATGTAGGACAAATTCTAATTTCTTCATGCCTGCTTTAAACTGTAACAGGATATCCTGATTTTTCATCTTAGCAAGTTCCTCTTAGTGAAACTTCTACATCCATTGTCAGGTAATGCCTTCTATGCAGAGAATAAAACTACTTCCTTTCTTTGTTCCACTGCTATAACAATGATATAAAACATTCTGCAAAATACTGAAGTAGAGGACTGCTGGACACCTGATTCCATGTGCAATGAATGATGCAATTACAATAATACACAGGAAACAGAAAGGAAACCTTTCTTGTCCATTTAATCAAGCAATAAGTATTTTTATTAATCAGCAGACATTTCCTAGAAATTGCTGCATCAATCAGCTCCTTGTTACTTGTGCCCAATATTATAATGAAGCTAAAAGTTATTCCTCTCTTGGATACTTGGTTGCACGGTGCAGGGAGATCTGTTTGTCTTATTTCTTCTAATTTGATACCCATATGAGTGATAGGAAGGAAGAGATATTATTAGCCAGAAACACAGGCTAGACTTGTTTCAAACAGTCCATTCTGAATATGTATACCTGATGTATAAAATGGTTACAATAAAGTTAAGAAGACTGCTGCTATATAAATAAATTTTATTGTCTAATGGCATCCACAACTGACTTCCCTAAGATATGAAAGGGAGTTTGTTCTGGGCAGATCTTCGTTTTCATACCTACAGTATGTCCCTCTAAAAAGGGTAGCTCAGTTATCCTTAGTAACAACTTAGCAGCTCGAGTGCACAAAGCATGTGGTAAATAATATTGACTTGGCTTTCTATTTTTAAAACATAAGTAATAAAGAAGACTTTTATGATATAATGCATGTTTTATGGGACTGTCATGTCATGTCGATTTGTCACGTCGATCTATTTACAAATCTCAACTCATAAGTTGTCTGCTCATAAGTAGTGAGTATAATCAATCAATTGAATGAATGGGGCCATGCATTTATCTTCCCAATGTTACAATATCAGTCTTTTGGATATAGTAAGGGCACAAATAATCCGGTTACATTGTCCAGTTGTCATATTCCATGTAAAAGATATGTAATTCAAGAGAATATTATCTTCAAAATTTTTAATTTTTGTCAACAGTTATAATCCACTATTTTCTCCCAACTTAAGTACAGGACATGGTGAAAACATGTGTTTTAACGAAGTATTATCCTTCTTACAGCTCCAGAAGAATGCTATCTTAGATAAACTTTTTACATTCAAATATAGAAGATTCCAATAAATTCTAAGTTATTATCTTTTGTTGTGCAAGTTGAAGTTTAAGGTCCACTGACATTCTTGGTATAGAAGTCACTTTCCTATTGTCTAGACCAGTGGTCGCCAACCGGTGGGCCGTGAGAAAATTTTGGTGGGCCGCAGAGAAATCTCACCCCCAGAGCACCAACCCAAAGCAATTAATCCAGGCTGCGCAGAAACACAAGGCTGTGCTGCCCACATGGCCCACTGGAACCCTCCCTGCCCACTCACTCCTTACCAGGTAAACTTGCCTGCTAAATTGCTATTTTTCCTTTTTCCGACCATCATCTGTTCTGCTGTGCGATTTAGATTAGCTAGGAAGCAGGAAATGGCTGGATTTCTTGCTTTCTAGCTAGTCTTTAGATCTTTGGATCGGCACAGTCGAACCTCCCTTAGGACTGCTTGCAAGCAAATTCAGTGCAGACTCACGGCAAGCAAATTTGAGAGACTGAGCTAGCCAATGGCAGATAGATAGATCACTGAATGATTCTGTGAGCAACTCAATCTGCCTGCTTTGCCTGATTTTGGGTAAAAGTTACTCTTTTTTTAAATAAAAAATTCAGTATTTACATACATGGTGTGTTGTGAGTTAATTTTGTGAGTTTGCTTGCAAGAAAATTTTATGTGACAGACTGAGCTAGCCAATGGCAGATAGATAGATCTCTAAATGAATCTGTGATTCTGTGAGCAACTTAATCTGCCTGCTTTGCCTGATTTTGGGTAAAAGTTGCTCTTTTTTTATAAAAAAATCAATATTTATATAAATATTTATAATATTTACATACAAGCCATGCCCAGCCAGTCACATGACCACCAAGCCACAGCCAAAAATTAGGCCACGCCCACAGAACCGGTTAGTGGTCCCTGGGATCTAAAATTATGAGTTTGATGGTCCCTGAGGTCCAAAAGGTTGGTGACCCCTGGTCTAGACAAAGTAGGAACATTTAATTCTTTATTCCACTCATTTCTATCAATAATAAATGATACTTTATAATTTTTAAAATTATGTATATTTTGTTCATCAAATGATCCATAATTCATATTACTGAATCCATCATTCTTACCTGGGATTAGTAAGATTGTAACAAGATTTCCAGATCTGCAACATATGTTTACAAGTAAGAAGTGCCTCATCTGGGCCCCTGCAGAGTAATTCCAATTTGACTTTGGAAAATAATAATCTAAGAAAACAAATGTTAAAGTTTCTTTATATTTTATACAGTTCCATTATTTTGTTACTTCCAATGGAAATAATACTGTTTTTAAAGTAAATTCATGAAAAGGCAGAACAAGGAGAAATAGAATTGCATTTATTTTTTATTATAAAACAATTGCATTTAGACATCTAAATAATATATAATGTAATGTTTAGAAAGACAGCTGTGTGGTATCTACAGGACAAAGAAGCTGGGAAGCAGAAAATTACATTCTTACTCATCAAGTATGAAAATTATAGGTAGCATCTGGAAAAGTGAAAAACAAATTTACCACCTCTCTCAACATCACAGCTGGATTAGTTCAATGTCATATTCAGCATGTCTAGAAGCAGCAATAATTATTACTCACATGAAATTTTCTGGATATTCACTCAAGGCCATGTCAATGATATTCAGAGCATCATGGTAGTGTTTCTGAGCTGACAGCAAGAGGGCAAGGAGATGTAAAGAATTAGCATCATCACCTTGAAGCTGCAGAGCCTGACGAACGTAACCCAAAGCTTCTGGTATCTAGTTAAAATAAAAACTGAAAAGAATTATTACCACAACACATATTTTTAAAATAATTCTATTACCCATTTGGATAATAACAACAGCAAGAAGGAATGGAAAGCTCCCAAAGTTTGCACATATAACTTTGGGAGGAAACATTTCACTGCAGAGTTTACTTAACAGATGCTAATGATTTTGTTATCCATTAGCTAGAAGTATGTACCTAGCCTCCCTAAAATCAGCTTACCTTTGTAAATTCAAGGTATACACGAAATGTACCTGTTTCAGGTTTCAAAATTCTGCAATTTAATTGTTTAAAAAATCTTTTATTGCTTGTTTTCTTAGAATGCATTTGGCATGTGCCCTTCTCATGTACTATTCAAAAACAAAGACAAAGCAACATCCAAATGTCATTGTTTTGGGTTTGAGGTGTTGAAAGTAGAAGAAAAAGATGCATGGCCTGAATTTGAATTGCTAGTCTTTCTAAAAGGTTTACTAGAAAATAAATTATTGTATGTCATATATACAAATAAAATACAAATCTTGAAAATTGAATCCTACATGCAATATAATGTTATTTTTCTACCCTAACATTGAATCAGCAAGAAAGAACGTACGCATACAAAAGTGATCAATAAAATATTTCTTATATTTTGTACAGCAATTTTGAAATGTATACATCAATTTCATTTGGAAATAAGAACACAGTGGATATTAAATGCTCTTCAATTAACAACTCTATTTACTGCCAATCAATGTTAACAAATCTACTGATTTTTAAACATACCTGTCGAGAAATAGCAAATTGTAAAGCTAAATAAAAGGCTGCCAGATGATCACTTGGAGACAGAGTATGTGCCCTGAAAATAATTAAAATATATTAGATTTATTGGTACTTCCTAATCAATCCCTCCCTCCCTCTCTGCCTTCCTGTCAGGTGTTATTTTTTTACCTATTTTCCCTGGATCTTTCAAAATGTCAGGGCCTTATCCAGTTGGGTGACTATGAGCTACCCTCTCAGCTTAATCTACCCCACAGGATTGTTGTGGGGGAAAAGGAGTAAGAAGGTATGTTGGGTATGTTTGCTGCCTTGAGTTATTTATAAAAATAAAAGGTGTGAGATAGACAAACAAACAAATATCTAACACTTTCCAGTGTCAGAGGGATTCTTATGTTTCATAATTAAGTAATAAAGGGTGTTTTAATATTTTGTTCAGATTTTTAAAAGTGAATTAAAAATCTGATAAACAGACTGCTCACAGAATTAATAGCATAATACAGATTTTCTTTTATAGATCACTGTTTCAGAAATCTAACTAAATCTAGCAAGGAAAGAAGGGTGATTACCATTTGGCAGCTACCCAATATTATGTCGTCATCATCAGTTTAAAATTTCAGAAATAATCCAGATTAAATATTGCTTGCATAAATGGTTGCTGACATCTATGTTAGATGATTGCAGCAGTATATTTATAGGAAGATGGCCATACATGACACAGCCTATACTGATACAAGTTTATGACTCAAGTTTCAAAGAATTTTCTCCTAACCTGTTTATTTTGGTAAAGGCAAAGTAAAAAGTGTCCATAAGGAGTTCTGTATTTTAGAATTAATTATATAAGAACATTATTAATATAATGCTCTTATATAATTAATTCTATAATGCAATGAGCCAATACCAGCTCCCCCTCAAAGTTCTTATAACAAAAATAATATGTACTGATATTAATCACCAGTGTGTCTGTGTGTCTATGTATATGGGCAAAAGCTTTTCTGAACTTAAAGAATTTTAATTTACTTCCCATCAAACAAAGGCAAAGGTGCATATAGTGCATTTGTGTAACAACTGTGGGCAAAAGAGTGTGATTCACTTACTTAGCAATATAAATGCTGTCCCAACTGTGATTTAAAATCAAGGATTAGCTGTATCTCAGTTCCAATTACTATTGTAATCTGAAGACTACCTATCTGGATACTGAGTTTAAATGGAGAGAATAGTGGGACCAAGCCTACATCTTACAAGTAATTATCCCCTCTCCTACTATTCACTTCCATTAGACTGACATATTATAGACAGTCATCTTTTAAACTTTATCTGCAATATCCAGGAAACATGAAAGAAAAACTTTTGCTGAGTAACTCTCTTTTTAGTATCATAAGAAATGTATTTAAGACTCCTAAATGTTCATTAAAATGGGATACTGTGCATCTTGCAAATAACTGCAAATAACTCATTAGGAATACATTTTTAACTGTTTATAGCTTAAAACATTTATCCGATTCTAACCTTAACCTTTAATGCAGGAAATATAATTTTTAACAGAATGAACACATTTTGTTCAATTAAAATATTACTATTCTCACTAGTATTATTATTAGTAATAGTAAGAATAAAAGCATATATTCTACTAATTCTCTACTGTGCTGCTCTGGAGCTGTTTTCTTTAAAAAGAAAAAAATCTCAGATACAAGAATAACAATTTAAACAAAGGTTGAGCAAATGTTATTTTCTATTAGCTGATAACAAAAATATCTTTAATGAAATAAGAGGTAATCCGTTGGAATCAGATTGGATTTTTCCGCTGCACTTGATGAACCAAATATTAATGTAATATGCTCTATACTCCCAGAGATTAATCATATTATATAATCATTTATAAACATATTCTATTCAAAAATATGTTTTTCATTTTCTACAGCTTAGCAAAAAGATTACCATCCACTAACCTTTGAAATGCTAGAAGAGCCTTTCGCTGTAGGACCTCTTGCACTCCTCTCAAAGAAGCTAAAGACATAATTCATTAGTGATACTTAACTGGACATTTAATTAGTTATATTTAAATATAAAACCAATTTTAATAATCTCATAAATAGATATGTGAAATTTACTTACCATCTGTAGCTTGTAGGCTGTAGGTCAATCCTAGGGCTAAAAAACCTTTGGCTTTGAATTCTGATGTTTTGTCCCCCGCATCAACCACCATTCTGGCAAATCTTTCTGCCTCTTCTAACTAAAAACAGATTTTCATAGGAAAAGTGGCAGAATTCACTAAGTCAGAATTCACTGTTTAAAGTCGGTTGACCAATATCTACTAAAGTATTCAAATTATTCTAATTTAAAATCAAGATCCCCAAATCGTATCACAAGTGCTAAAGGTAGTACCGGAAATTTGAAAGAGTATAGAAATAAACATGATTATGAACTTTTTCTACCATTTCCTTTCTTATACATGCAAAATTTCACAAATTGAAGAACAGACCAAGATGATGCCATGAAATGTGGGAACAATTTCAATGTTCCTACACATTTCTGGATGGCATCATCTCAATATCCTGTCATGAAGACTTATAGAGGGAGAAAGTACTCAGATGGCTTAGAATATTCAAGTCAATCCCCACAAAAGAATGAACTAAATTAGTTTAAAAATCAAGAGCTCAAATGACAATGCTTTCTTAAAGGGACTGGGTAAAAATTTGGCTGAGGTACACATAGGAATCAAGTTATCCAAGTAAATAATATGAATGAAACTTAAGGATACCTGTTACTAATTTTGTATGTAGGAAGTACATTAAGTTTCTATGTGAACTTTGATGCATCTGTTGACTAAATTTCTCCCAGGTTCAGTAGGCATTTGTTACCAATTTTTCTTGGCAGCAACTTGTCCTAAAACCATTGTTCACAACCTAGACTTCCTATATACTTGTTATACTTATTAGGAATTAGACTTCCTATATACTTGTTAGGAATTAGGTTGAACTGTCACTTCAGGATTATGGAAACAGAATCCATAGACATTGCTTTCTTCCACAGAAGGAATGGAACCATTCTAACATGATCTCTTGTTATTCACTAAATACAATGCAGTGATTGCTAACAGAACTACTGTATCACATTTTTATTTTACCTTTTTAACCCATGTAGGGCAATTTCTCTGATTTATATAATGTTAATACATTGTTATACATTGTTCCTTCTTGATTCTCCCTTTGAATTCTGATAATTTTGTATCAGCCTCATTAAGGTTTATGAGAAAGGTTCTTTGATTTAATTAATATGATTAATTAAATTTCAACTTTAAATTTAAAGTACAGCTCTAGTGATGGCAAAATGTATGTGTCATCTGCAAGTTATAATAAATCATAGTACTTTCCATGATTATATCTGATTACAGTAGAACCTCTGGTCACAACCATAATTTGTTCCATAACTTTGGTTGCAACCTGATTTGGTCATGACCCGAACCTAATTTTGGAAATTTGGCACTTACAAAAAAAAAAAAAAATGGTGTGGAAGGGGAAATTGGCCACGAAAAAAAGGAAAAAATTTTTTGGGCAGAACCCGATTGGTCATGGTCAGAAGTGTTTGTGACCACAGGGTCTATGTATAGTTAATTCTTTTGTTTTAATGTGATTTTATTGATATTTGTCTTAGATTTTTTTGTGTATTTTTTCTTGCTTTTCACTGTTTTTAAAATTTCCAGAATTGCTTACATGAGATGGACTGTTATACAAATCAAACAAACTGGACATGACACCCACTATTAATTACCTATGTTGCAATGCAGACATATCCTTGCAAATATCTTTTCAAGGTTTATAAGATCATGCATGCAGTGACAGGACATTTCAATATCCATAACAGATCAAATTAAAATCATTCCAGGATCTACAGGAGATCTTTAATCAGATGCAATAGTGGTATGGGTTCCAGAACTACAAATATTCTAAAATTTCAATGAATTGATAGACTTTTTGTTTGAAAAAAAAAAGACATATATCCTTAAATACTGAATTCTTCATTTTTCAGATGACTAACAAAACAACTTACCCAATGAAGGGTTCCCATACATAATTTAGCAGCAAGAAGTGGAATTGTAGGATCATCTGGCTTCAACCGAATACATTCTTTTAAGACTTTTACAGCTCGAGCAGACTACATAAAAAGGGCATTAGAAAATAAGACAGTGAAGAAGTAGCAAAATGTGTTATTTCAATTTGCTACTTTAAACCATTCCAAGATATAATTAAAAAGATGAAATGGATTTTATTCAAGAAGGAACTGGTTTGATTTTGATTGATGTCCAGCAGCTACTAATCAGATAAAGTAGCATTGTGTAGCATATAAAATGCCAAGAGTTTAGACTGATTCTAATGAAAAATTTAAAAAAATGTTTGGGTAGTAAATGAAAAATAAGGATTCTCTTTTATACACTGCTCAAAAAAATAAAGGGAACACTTAAACAACACAATGTAACTCCAAGTCAATCACACTTCTGTGAAATCAAACTGTCCACTTAGGCAGAAACACTGATTGACAATCAATTTCACATGCTGTTGTGCAAATGGAATAGACAACAGGTGGAAAGCATAGGCAGTTAGCAAGACATCCCCAATAAAGGAGTGGTTCTGCAGGTGGTGACCACAGACCACTTCTCAGTTCCTATGCTTTCTGGCTGATGGTTTAGTCACTTTTGAATGCTGGCGGTGCTTTCACTCTAGTGGTAGCATGAGACGGAGTCTACAACCCACACAAGTGGCTCAGGTAGTGCAGCTCATCCAGGATGGCACATCAATGCGAGCTGTGGCAAGGTTTGCTGTGTCTGTCAGCGTAGTGTCCGGAGCATGGAGGCGCTACCAAGAGACAGGCCAGTACATCAGGAGATGTGGAGGAGGCCGTGGAGGGCAACAACCCAGCATCAGGACCGCTACCTTCACCTTTGTGCAAGGAGGGACAGGAGGAGCACTGCCAGAGCCCTGCAAAATGACCTCCAGTGGGCCACAAATGTGCGTGTGGCTGCTCAAATGGTCAGAAACAGACTCCATGAGGGTGGTATGAGGGCCCGACGTCCACAGGTGGGGGTTGTGCTTACAGCCCAACACCGTGCAGAACATTTGGCATTTGCCAGAGAACACCAAGATTGGCAAATTCGCCACTGGCGCCCTGTGCTCTTCACAGATGAAAGCAGGTTCACACTGAGCACATGTGACAGATGTGACAGGGTCTGGAGACACCATGGAGAATGTTCTGCTGCTTGCAACATCCTCCAGCATGACTGGTTTGGCAGTGGGTCAGTAATGGTGTGGGGTGGCATTTCTTTAGGGGGCCGCACAACCCTCCATGTGCTCGCCAGAGGTAGCCTGACTGCCATTAGCTACCGAGATGAGATCCTCAGACCCCTTGTGAGACCATATGCTGGTGCAGTTGGCCCTGGATTCCTCCTAATGCAAGACAATGCTAGACCTCATGTGGCTGGAGTGTGCCAGCAGTTCCTGCAAGACGAAGGCATTGATGCTATGGACTGGCCCGCCTGTTCCCCAGACCTGAATCCAATTGAGCACATCTGGGACATCATGTCTCGCTCCACCCACCAACACCCTCAGGAGACCATCTGCAACCTTATCAGGAGCATGCCCAGGCGTTGTAGGGAGGTCATACAGGCATGTGGAGGCCACACACACTACTGAGACTCATTTTGACTTGTTTTAAGGACATTACATCAACGTTGGATCAGCCTGTAGTGTTTTTTTCCGCTTTAATTTTGAGTGTAACTCCAAATCCAGACCTCCATGGGTTGCTAAATTTGATTTCCATTGATAATTTTTGTGTGATTTTGTTGTCAGGACATTCAACTATGTAATGAACAAAGTATTTAATAAGAATATTTCATTCATTCAGATCTAGGATGTCTTATTTTTGTGTTCCCTTCATTTTTTTAGCAGTGTATATCGTAAGATTATTTTTATATTGTAAAAAATAAAAAATGATTTGGCACGGAACTGAAGGAATGCTGGTAGGAAGAAATGTATAGAGATATGTCAAAGAGCAGAACTGAAGTGAATGCTGTAAAAGTTAGTAAAAGTTAGCATTAATGAAAGGTGATGAAAAGCAAGTTATAAAAGATGTGAAAAGATTGAAACATTTTAAGGAAGCAATTGTAGATAGTGTAACTTGAGAAACAGTAAAGTACAGATGTGATTAATGTGAGGCCTGTATTTCTGTCTGATAATTGAAAAAAAAAGTTGTTCCCTTATACCAGGGAAAGGGAGCAAGAGCTGCAAAATTATAGAGGGAAAGGGTATATCTAGTACAGACAAAATTCTAAGTGAAAGGCTTGAGAGATAATATACTCTATACAATATACAAAATTCGTGATGTGCAGGAAAGGTTTTGGATAGGCAGGAGAATGAAGACCACATTTTTGTTTTTCAGTAGCCATTGAGATACATATGAATTATGAAAAGATATATTATGTTCATTTAGAAAAAGCTTATGATAATTGAATTACAGACTACTTTACACAGTTGAAGGTTGGCTGTTGAATGTGGTAAGAACAGCATATCATACAATAAAGCATGTATGAGAATAAATATAATGTCTAACGAATGCCCCAACACTGTTCTGACCCAAACCCTTTTCCAATAAAACAAACACGAACCAAAGGAAACAGAAACCTTTTAATGATTCTTACAAATCCCCGGTTAAAAGGCTGCTGCAAACTAATTAATTTTGATAAGCACAAGCCTTGCCAAAACTGTGCAAGGCTGCCAAAAATAACAGATAAGAAATATTTTACAACACAAGAATCTTCAAATACCAGCTTAAGATACTGCAATGTCCGCGAGGCGGGAGTTTCAAAACCTTTTTGCTTCCTACAAAGAACGTTCGCTTCACAGCTGGCTTTTAACTACTTGAGGAGGAGCCGTTACCTTGCAGCCTTACTTCCGAGTCACTGATGCTGCTGCAGCTGCTCTTTCTTACGAGTAGCCCTGTGCGCACGTGCACTTGAGACTTCTCAGAAAACAACAACTAAATGAAAAACTGCTGATAACCTTCTACCGCTGCACCATAGAGAGCATTACTGGACCTCTGTATGGTTTGCCAATTGCACAGTGGCAGATAGGAAAGCACTCCAGAGGATTAATGTCATTGGTTGCCCTCTCCCCTCTTTGGAAGAGCTTTATAGCCCCCGCTGCCTTAAGAAAGTTCAAAACATTCTCAAAGATCCATCTCATCCTGGGCACCCTTTTTTTGAACTATTACCATCTGGCAGACAGTACAGAATAATAAAAACAAGGACAAAAAGGCTGAAAAACAGCTTCTATCCCAGGGCAGTAGCTTTTTGAATTCTGCTGTATAGTGCAGTATTGGTGCGGTGTCGGGGGTTTCGGTTCAATGTGTGGAGTGTGAAGGATGTGTGTTTGTTTATTTTCATGGTCATGGTCATGATGTGCACTGAAGATAGTGTTTGATTTCGTTGTACGAGGTGCAATGACAATAAAGTAAACTAAACTAAACTTGGCACAGGCTCCTTGGGAGCCTCCTCATCGCTGCTGCAGATCCCACAATCTCTGAAGGTAGCAGTCCACTCTCTAATGGTCCTGGCTCCTCATCTGAGTCCTCGCTCTCCTCATCCGTCTGCACCTGCTGCCAGCTAACCACAACAAACACTGAGCAAGGCACAAGCCAATTGATATCTTCTTGATTTTTAATGCTGGGTTAAGCTGACAATCCAAATGATCTGCAGTGAATGTTAGACTGTATGATGCAATGAGGAGTATAGATCTAAATACTATATACAAGATTGAGAAGTTTGTTTCTGAGAAAAGAAATTGAATGAATGATTGCAATTTACCCATACATGACAAAAAATTACAGTGAGTGATATTTTGGTATATATAGAATGTTTACTAAACATGGAGAAATGAATGGAGAATGTTTTACAATGGCCAGATGTGCTTCACAGATTAAATGTAAAGATGTAAAGCACCCTTTCCAAGCCACTAGTCATAATTTGAGGACTACCTGTATTTAGGAGCAATGAAACACAATGTTTCAAAGAAGGAAAAAAAGAAACACAAAGAAATTTGTGCTATATCCACTTTTCTACTTTAACCAGTAGATGTCTGCAGTTTGTTGGATCAAATGATAAACACAGCTACAGCTGCTATTCTGTACACAGTTATGAAAATGAAGGCTTATATAACACAAAGAATGTATGCAGGATTATAGTCTACTTTGTTGCCATTAGCAGCCAGTAATAAAACAAAATTTGCAAAGAAACTTACTTTTCCTGCTGCCATTAATGAAAGTGCAAATTGATACCAAAGATGGAATTCTTCAAAGGCAAATTTCATAGCCCGTTCCAAACACTGCAATAAAATTGAGAATACAGACCATTAATAGGTATAAATTATTTAAATGAACACTACTTATCTTTCTACGCTGACTATATTAGCTGGTAATTACACTTACTGGCAAACAAAACGATGCTTGCAAGGCACTGTACTTTTGTTACATAATATAAATATCAAGCCAGGGTGCATGTTGCAAATGACTGAAGACTTTGTTGTTGTTGTGTGCAGGCAAGAATGAAAGCCTGGATTACTTTATGTGAGTGTAATGCAAGCAATAGAGGAGAGAAGAGCAGGGCTCATCTTTTGTCTTTAGGATGTTTGTTCAAACTTTTGACAAATTCCATTGTCTCTGTCCATTTTCTTTCTCTCAATTCATAGAATACTATTTAAGTTACTTTACAGTGGAATTTCATGCTGAAATTAACAACAGAAAAGGAAGATTCTCAAAAAAACTTTAAATTCCTTTTAGCTCAGCTTTGAATGTTCTAACAAACTAAACTTCTGAATCAAAGGAAACAGGGAGGCAATATATAAACCTATTCTATGGAACCCATGAAAACCGTTAACATAAAGGAAATGTTCATGAAATACATATTAAAAAGGGAGTTTCAATGCAAATGTCAGGTCACAAAGGTAAGAAAACGAGAAATGAGGTTATGTTCC